AGGATCATAAGGAAAGTATCAAGTTTAGAGTCACTAACCTCAGAAAGACAGACATCTTTATTAGATTCAAATGGCTTAAGGCTTACAACCCTACTATTAACTGGTTAGAGTAGACACTTGTGTTTAATCAGTGTCCTAAGTCTTACAACTACCTTACACTACTGTTCTGAGTAGATACAGACACTTCTAATGTTACTAACAGTTCTAATGAAGGTGACTAGTTGTTCTTCTTCAACTAGGATAGATATGTGGATACATATTCTAGTCAAGGTGGAATAGAGTTGATCCAAAGAATGTCTAAGACAGAACCAGTCTAGAACCCTCTCAGAATGACTCTACTCTGGAACACACACAGACTCAGCCTGCTGGATTTTGTTCAAGAGTTCCCTAAAGTCTTTAGTAAAGAGGAATTCAACCAGCTTCCTGAATACTGTCCCTAGGACTATACAATTGAATTGACTAAGGGTTTTGAACCTAAGGATTGTAAGGTCTACCTACTCAACAGAGACAAGTAGGAGACACTCAATGAGTTCCTTCAGGAAAATCTTTAGAACAGTCAGATCCAACCCTCAAAGTCCCTCATAGCCTCCCCTTTCTTCTTCATCAAAAAGAAAGATAGGAAGCTCTACCCAGTCCAGGATTATTATTGTCTTAATAAGGGTACTGTCAAAAACAAGTACCTGCTCCCCCTGATTCAGGAGCTCATTAATAAGACACATACATCTAAGGTTTTCACTAAGTTGGACATTTGATAGGGATACAATAATATTCAGATCTAAGACAGAGATGAGTGGAAGACTGTATTCTGAACCAATCACAGATTGTACAAACTGACTGTAATGTTCTTTAGACTAACTAACTCACTCACAACATTCTAGTCATTCATGAATCACATTCTCACAGATCTGATTAACTTAGAGTATGTTAGTGTGTATCTGGACAACATTCTGATCTTCACCCAGACAGTTGAGCACTATTACTGACTAATCCAAGTAGTTCTATAACAGCTCTGAGATAATAAACTGTTCCTCTAAGAAGTAAAGTACTCTTTTACACAGGAGTCAGTGGATTATCTAAGCTTTGTGATTAGTAGAGGAGAGGTCTGTATGGATCCAGCAAAGGTGACTACAGTTTGAAACTAGTTACAACCTTAGAACCTGAAACAGGTCCAAGTATTCCTTAGGTTTACAAACTACTACTAACACTTTATTCAAGACTTTAGTACTATTGCCCAGCCCCTTCACAATCTTACTAGCAAGGATGTTCCTTAGTAATAGGATGATTAGTAGCAGTCTGTGTTTGAGTCCCTCAAGTAGGTTATTACTAGTAAGCCTGTATTAGCAGTTCTAACAGTTGTAAACAAGTTCTGAGTCAAAGCCAATTCTTCCAACTTTGTGAATAGAGTAGTACTGTCCTAGTTCATTAACAGAAAGTAGTGTCTGATAGTATTCTGATTAGAATCTCTCTCTGTAACAGAACAGAACTACCCTATCTATAACAAGAAACTCCTTACAATTGTCTGTTCCTTAGAAGAGTAGTGTCAATATCTCCTTAGTATTGTACAGAAGTTTGAGATTTAGAGTGATCACCTTAATCTCTAGTACTTCTGAGTGCTCTAGAAGCTCAACTGCTACTAAGCCTACTGAATGTTAGAACTGTAGGACTTTGACTTTGTGCTAACCTACAAACCTAGAATACAAATGATGAAAGCTGATTTACTCTCAAGACAAACAGGTTATAAAAGGGGGGAGAATGATAATGAAAATCTTGTTCTCCTAGACAATTCCCATTTCATGTCTAAGACAATCTAAGAGATCCAACTTGAATCTGAGAATGTTAACTTTGTCACTCACATACAGTAAGCTCTGAGACACACACAGGACTAGGTTGTAGTGAAGCAACTAGAGAAGCAGGCTAGGGATTGGGAGGAGGATGAGGATGGACAGGTTTACTAGGAAGGCTGACTGTACATTCTAAAGGATCAGAAACTGTAGAAGGACATTGTCTAAGCTCATTATAACAATCTGACTGTAGGACATCTAGGCTAACACAAAACACAGGAACTCATCACTTGGAACTACTAGTGGTCTAGAATACAGAGGGAAATTCTGAAGTACATGACTAGTTATAATATGTGCCAACAGACTAAGGCCTACTAGACAAGGGTTTGAGCTCCCCTACATTTGTATTGGATCCCAGATCACTCTTAGGAAGAAGTCTTAGTAGACCTGATTAGTAAGCTACTCAAGTCTTAGGGTTACAACACTATCTGTGTGATTGTCAACTGATTCTCTAAGCAAGTCTATACAGTTCCAACCTGAACAGAACTCACTTCTGAAGGTATAGTGTGTATTTATTAGGATCATGTCTTCTAGTTGTACAGACTCCCTTAGAAGCTCATTCATAATTGTAGACTGTAATTTGAGTCAAAATTCATGTAGGACTTGTATGTGCTTCTCAGAATTCAAGGGAACCCTTCTACTGTCTATCACTTACAGACTGATAGTCAAACTGAGTGAGTCAATCAGGAGATCAAGCTCTACCTCTGAATATTCATTAATCATTAGTAATTAGATTAGTCTGAATAGCTAGCTCTGACAGAATTCATACATAATAACTAACAATACTCTGTAACAGGACAGTCCCTGTTCTTCCTTAATCATAGGAGACATCTGTACTAGGGGACAGTTCTAAACCAGAATGACAGTTCTGAATCTGTAACAGACTTTGTAGAACAGATACACAGAACCAGGGAGGACACACAAGCTCTTTTGGAGAAGGCAGCACAGGTCATAAAGTAGAACTATAATTAGAAGAGGTCTGTGGCCAAGGATTACTAGCCTAGTGACAAAGTTATACTAGAAGCTACTAACCTAACCATAGATTGTCTAATGAAGAAGTTGGACAACAAGTGCTTTAGACCCTTCATTATTGAAAAGAAGGTTAGTGCCTCTGTCTACAAACTCCAACTTCCAGTAACATGGAAGCACATACACCCAGTGTTTAACAAGGTTCTACTGTCTCAATACTACAATCTGGGTTTTCCTTCACAACAAAGACTCTCACTACCTCCACCAGAACTCATTAGTTTCAAACCAGAATACAAAGTAGAGTACATAGCAGATACCAAGCTAGTACACAGAAAGCTCAAGTTCCTTATCTACTAGAAGGGATACCCAGTTGAAGAACACACTTGGGAACCTGCTGAGAATCTCACCCATACTGCTAAGGTGATCCAAGACTTCTATTAACTTCATTTGGGTGCTCTGCATCAACTCTGCCTTACAGATTTCTAAACCCTACTATTCTGACCTATGCCTGAGCTGCTAACCAAGCCCAATACTCACCAATCAGGATGATTGGTTTTAGAGGGAGGGTAATGTTACAGTTCTCTACTCTTGTACCTTCAGTTCTAAGGGTTCTGTACCCTTCTGTACCAGAACTCAGAACTTCTGTCCCTCAGGGGTGCTGTCTATAGACTATATGTGTACTGACTCTTACTACTACCCTTCCTTACTTCATCATTCCATTCCTTTGACCACCCCTTCATTCTTTGTATCATTCTATAGTCTCTTACCCTTTGTCCATCCCTTCATTCTTTGTACCTTTATCTTTGACATTCCTTTCTTTCATTCTTCATAGCTTATCATTCTTAGTGGCTCATGCTCCCTGAGTACTCTTGTGTAGTTTAGTATATATAGGCATACAAGATCAGACTAGTCCTGTAGTCTTGATCTCATCTACTCCAGGTAGTCCTGTACTCTTAGGCTCACTCTATATACTCTACTCTTGTCTCACTCTCTCTCTCTGCCTGTTCTGCAAGTTCTGACTACATTCCAGTGCTTACATTCTGTATTTCTGTTGTGTAGGATAGTTGTAGCCTAGGTCCCCTTGCTGAGCCTTCAGGTCCCCTCTATACTGTTGCTGACACATTAGGCTACTGTGTTCCCCAATTCCTTTTGACCATAGCCTCTATTTCTCCTTGTTCATTGATGCATACAAGAATCTGTATACTGCTAAGCTGATTACTGTTGTGCCTGACAGTGAGGACATGTACAAGGGAATTGAACCTCTACAATTAGCAATACTTAATGTGAGAGTTCTATTATTTAATACTATCTTTCAGTTTGATAGAATATTATTGACATTTATACTGTCAGTACTTCTGCTATAAGGCATTGAAGGGCATCTGTACAATCAGCAGGTGCACTATGCCCATTTATACAATACAGCACAGCTGCCTTGCTACTGTACTTTTCCTCTTTGGACCTGAGAGCATAGGTGGTAATAAGGATGTTAAGACAAGACTACACAAGAGTATGTCTCAGATGATATAAACTACATTACAAGCAATGACAAACGATGATGGAATACCTTCTATCATACATTCTACATCTGAGACATACCTACATAGTATATATAGACTAACTAATCAACAGACAAGGAAGTAAGCTGTGAGAGAGCAAGCTGAGTCCACTATCCCCCCTCTTTGTGTGATCTCTCTAAGCCTCTCACATAACCTCTCTTCCCCCTTTCTTAACAGGGGATCTCTCTGAGAAATTCAACAAGATTGAGATGAAGGATGGAGAAGAGTTTGAGAGGGAGGTTGAGAGGGTACGAATCTTCCTGAAAGAACATTGCTTTGTGATATGAGTGACAATATGCCTTTTGCAGATTTATCAGAGACATAATCAGGGAATTGCTGATATTCCTGGAATTCCACCAATGTACAATTATGAGCATTCTCCACAGATTGTATGTTTACCGTGTCTTGCTCACTCTCAAAGAGTTGACATCAAAATTAGGTCACTTTGGGGGTCAAACAGGTTGACGTCTTCTTATTCACACAATCCGTTCATAGGTGATTTCTACTATACTATAGGATTATTATCCTGGCTAATACAACTTGTCTAATAAGATTCTTCACAGAATGTGATGGCATGGTCAACTGCACGAGTCATTTGTACGAGTCTGGGCTGATTAGAAAATTACAAGAATGGATGGGACATTGTCCCGTTTTTTCCATAGGGTCACCAACGCCTCCTACAAACAAGGCAGAAGTAGAGCTAATTGTGAGCAAGAACGAAGTTTCTATTGATGTGAAAAATTTTCTTGACCAGGTGCTGAAGAAGCACAGAGCGAACTCGGTTGTGTTCGTGAGTCTTGGTTTCTTTCTTTCCCCATAAATTTCAATTATCCTAAATCATTCTGACACAACAGATCTCATTCGGAACTGTCTGGTGGTCTGCAGAGCCAGAGAAAATATGGACTATCTTAGATGTCCTCATCGAACGAGGCATTCCATTCGTTAGTTTTGTTAGGCTCACAGCTAGAATATCTAACTAACCTGCTATTTCATTTAGCTTTTCAGTCACGCTTCTCCTATAGGCGTCATCCCCGATGAAGTTTCTGCAAGGATTGAAGCTTCCGGCCTGGGTTATACGGCCAAATGGCTTCCCCAGCAGATGATCCTGCAGCATGAAGTACGTCAGCTCTTATTCATTGTCCTTTCTTACTCAACAAATTCATTTGCATCTTTAGGCATGCGGTTGGTTCATGTTGCATTGTGGACACAACTCTGTGATGGAGTCACTCACTGCTGGTGTTCCTCTGTGAGCAAAACAAAGCAAAACAAATTAAGACGGCTACCTCATGTACTGAATTTCTATTTCACACAGCATTTGTTGGCCATATGATGCAGATCAACCTATGAATGCGGCGAACATCGCATTTGTCCACAAAGCAGGCTACGAACTGTTCGAGGTTCGCAATGGTCAAGGTCTCAGACCTGTCCATCGTCTTGGAGATAAGGCACCGGAGGGTACACTCGACGCCGTGCGACGTGAAGTGACGGAAGTGTTGACAAAAGCACAAAGTGAGGACGGCCAGAAAAGGCGTGCAAAGGCACAATGGTTTAGCCGTGAGTTTTCACGGAGTTGGGAGCTCGGAGGGCTGGCATGGGTGGAATTGGGTCGTCTTCTTGAGGTACTTGCATGATATTATCAACAACAGTAGATTTTACGGAAATTTTTCTTCGTTACCTTAGACAATAGAACAGCTTACTTTCTGGTAGATATATTCTCACAATAATCCATGTAGACATCCCCACTTGTTACAAGGTTGGAGTGCATCAAAGTATTTACCAGTAAAATTAGGCTCTGTCACGGCTTGAGGAAAAGCAAGATCCATGCATCTTACGTCTTCATTGAAACTAGAGGAGAGGCATACATCTTACCAGCATTATTTAAGTTTATTTCGCGTGTTTCCTTTGAGACCTATCAGCTTGATTTCTGCTATCCTATTATCACCTAGTCTAACCCATCCTTTGATTCTACCGTTATTGAGGGAGAAGTTAGAACAATATAAGCATGCAAGGGATATCTTCCTAAACGAAGCTCTATTATTTAGGAACAATCATCTTCCAGATGCACATGCATGCTAACGACTTTGTATTGTTTGCATTGCATGTTCCACAATCTAGGAGGGATTCGTGGTGTTGGTGTCTCCATGAACACGTGGAAACCTTTCTTGGTCTGAAGGTTTGATTTTTTTTGGGAGATGATCATTGTATATTCTCCGGACTTGCTCCACAATCTGTCCCTTTCGCTGCTCCGCGTCCCTTCTCCGTCGACAGGCAATTTCATACTTCTTTTCCCATTCTTGTATCTTCCTTTCAAAGCTTATTTTTAGTCTCTTGTTTCTCCTCGACTCCCCTCTTAGCTCATTTATGATTGGGGTTACTCGACCCAGAATCTCCTTTGCTAGATCGATACTTCCGTTGATTTCTTGGGGCATTTTCTCGTTACAGTGTTCAAGGTAGGTTTCACGTGCTTTATCGAGTGACGAGGTTGACAGAACCAAAATAGCTGTGTTGAGTGGGTATATAATCTTATTAGGAAGGTCGGTGTACACTTTTCTCCTAAGTGCACCGATAACTTCATCAAAGTCATCGTCTGGACCTCTGACGGTTCTGGAAGAGGCTGTTGTAGAAGTATCTGCTAACGCTTCGTAATACGACTGTCTACGCCTCCGTTGCGCAGAGAGGCTCCGTGACCGCCGCCGTCTAGTTCGGGACGCACCCATAGGATGTGTAGTGGAACAAGTTGTAGGAGGGCTGCTCATGTTACTGTATCAACACGCGAGGTCAGAGGGGATGCAAAGAGTACTGTGCGTTCGGATATGAGCGCGTTCTTATGCATTGCAAACAGACTTTGCGAGTCCGTTCGATTCTTTGGTCCAATGTCTATTACGGTATATTGCTGTAAGGTTTAAGTAAGTAATATAACCATACAGGACTTTATTCCTTGTCTAGAATGCATCCAAATATTTTAAGTTTCAATGTTGACACCATCACTGTTTCAGCGAAAGCAAAAACCAGTCACGTAATATTTTTATGAGAACCAGAGGAGAGATATTCATCTTTGTAGTAAAATAGAACTAGATATTATTATTAAGCAATCTCTTCTATCCTTTAACAAGGCATTAGTTGAATTATAAGCACACAGTCTATTGTTTAGGTACAATCATTTTCTACATACGTAGGCATGCTGATTACATATTTATATCGTTGGCATTGTGTCTTCATTTCTGGGCAACATTCATAGGATAGTTGTCTCCGAGAGCAGGTGGTATCCTGTCTTGGGGTTGAGGTCTGATTATCTCTGGGAGACGGAAATTATATTCATACTGAGCCTCCTGTATAATCTTTGTCTTTTGCTCTTCCTTCCTCCATTGGCAAGCATATTCATATCGCTTCTCCCATTCCTCTATCTTGCGTGTAAGATTAGCTTTGTCTGCCCTGTATAAATCGCTTTCCTTCGTCAGATCCTTTACCATTGGCTCAACTGGTCCTAGTACTTCCTTTGCTAACACTATAGCTTCGATGGTTTCTCTAGAAATAGGATTTTTGCAGTATTTGTGGTGAACCCTACGAGCTTTATCGAATGAATTAGGAGACATAGCATATATAGCTAATTCGAGTTCATGTATAATCTTAGGGAGATCATTGGATGCTTTCGCCTTGAGTGCCTTGATGATTTCATCAAAATCATCGTCTAGGGTTCTGGAGTGTGAACGTCTCTTCTGTCGCCTGGCGAAGATCGCACGGCGTCTGGGTCTGGATCTGGGTCGGGACGCATGGGTGTTACGTGTAGTGGGGCGCGATGTGGCAGCGCGGCTTGTAGTAGTCGGGCGGTTCATGTTATTACTGTAAGCGAGGTCAAAGGGGATGCAAAGGTTGTTGTGGGTTCAACGATGAGTGCGTTCTTATGTATGCATTGCAAAACAAGTTTGCAAGAAACGACTCATCAATCTTTCTTTGTCAAGTAATCTACTTCGGCAGTCCAACGCAATAAGAATGCAAACAGGATCGCAGAAACACGGTTCCCTATAAAGAATCGATCGATAAGAAGGAAGAGATGACTCGACGCGTCGATGTGACTCGCAACGCGTCTCCGGAGCCGGAAAGGACAAAAACGAAATTGAAAATCCGCCCGCGTAGAATCACACGTGTGACGACGCGCGACATTACATAAGGATTCACCTCGCCGTCGTCACGCAATTACTCGAATAAGGCATACTTGCCATGCCACCGCAGTTGCTGTTACACTCACAGAAATATAGCCACTACGGATAAATTCCCTACCTGGCCGTGCCACACTCAAGTCGCCGTCTCTTCCTCCTCCCATCACGACATCCACCCTCCCACTTGGTGGTGCTGCTTTGCATCTAGCAGTCAGAGAGTGACTGACTGACTAGCGATCGAATTGAGATAGATAACGCCGACCTCGTGCTCGTCACACACAGGAGAAGTTTTCCCACCCACTCAATCGCACGACTTACCCATCCATCCATCTCCTGCCGTCCTCGACTCACGCTTCGACATCTACCTCAGCGATGTCCTTCGGCAGTTTCAGGCGCCAATTTGGCCCTGGAGGTCGTCACCCTCACATCAAGTTCTACTCCTTTGGCATGAACGACAACGAAGACTTCGTCTATGACGAGGGCCTTGATGAATATGAAGAGGAGCCAAGCCACGAAGAAGTTACTGAAGTCGCCGAGGTCCTCAGTTCTCAAATGACTAGACTCTCTATGCTGGAAGGTACACACATCAAGCCGTATGTTGGAAACGACCAGTCGCCGGATAAGGGTTGGGAAGAGGTATGCAACCTGATTACCCTTAGTAGTTGACATGAATCTGACGTGCGATGAACTAAGTATGAAACCCTTCCGGCAACGACAGAGGCACCGAGCACCTCTTCGCTATCGAAGACGGACGTTGAGCTTCCTAGGTCGAAACCGAACTCTAGCAAGAAGAGGCATACGAAGCATTGGGAGGCGATGGATATCTTACTCAATAAATTCACGTCAAAGGCAAATGAACTTGCAAAAGACGACCGATGCCAGAACGAAGAGGCCGTAGCAAATGCGAAGGCAATGGGTGTCAAGGTTCGAGACTTCGCAATGACGTCAGCATCCAAGTCATCCGATGCCATTGCCACCAACACCACGCATGTCCAAAGAAGCCAGCGTCTAAGGATGTTCCCTGCCCGGGCGAAGGCCGCGGAATTCTTGTACATGCGATATCTCCTCAAGCACGGTGTCTACGACTTTTTCAACATTTGCACCGCCGCGGACGATCTCGACCGGTTATACACATGCGGCTTTGTCAAGGCCGATGACCTAGACCATCCTTTCCTCCGTGCGTTGCTCGCACATGGTATCTACAGGCGGTCGCTACGCACGTCTGCCCAGCCAACGTCCACTGGAAAACTTTTACCGGCACTGGGTCCTTGGACGATCCCGGTCGATGCTCGCCGTCCGTCCCAGAGGACAATGAAGCAATACATCGCGGATTGCGAAGCCCGCCGGACAAATCCAAAGCATATGAACCATGATTATCTTGTCGCTTCTGTAAAGCGTTCTACCATTATTAAACATTATATTGATAAACATGCGGAACGCGACGCCGCTGATATTCAGATCGATGACAGCGATGGTGCCCTGGTAGATGTTGAGGAAGACGAGACGTTCGTCCGACCAGAGGTTGCGTTTGCTAAGAAGGATGAATCAAGCAAGCCTGTTGAGGGATCCGCTCCTGTCAACTCGCAATCTGGTCCTGCGCCAGCTGCTGTTGAAGTGACTCAGCTCACTGGCCTTACACCATCCAAGACCGTTGATAGACTGCCTACGCCTGTTCGTGGGCGAAGTACCAGCCCTTGTTCTGGTCCAGAAGCCAAGGGCCGAAAGCGTTCCCGGTCGCCATCGTGTGGAACGGACGATAAAGTCTCAAGTCGACGAGTTCGATTCTCGAGCAACGTTACGTTTCTTGTGAGGGAAGCAGAATCAACTAGCTCCGATGAGGAAAGTGCCACGGATACACCAACAAGCGAAGCTAACGGACATCGAGAGGCGCAGGAGCAGGAGCCGGACGTCAGTTCATCTCCTAGCAATAGTTTAAAGCACGCTCGTGACGAGGAGGAGCGGGAGCAAGGAACACCAAGAATTACTTCGTTCTGGCCGACGAAAAAATTAAAAGCAGGGGCATTTGCAACCAAACCTCGTGAATCCAGAGCCTCTCCTACGGCGATATCCGCTTTCTCTCATACTCGTCCACTCCGTCCACTGCCCCGCACACAACCCAAGGCGGAAAGAACACGAGGTTCCTTTCGTGGAAAAAGGGAAGATCTGTTGACCAAAGATTCAACGGAGACGTTTCGGACCTCAATGAGCTCGCCAATGCGACTTGGGAGGGATGCCTTGAGTGAAGCTGCATCGGAACCTAGTATGTTTACGCTAGGACTAGGTCGAGCATTTGAGTTCCGCTTTGCTATGCCAAGGTGTCTGAGTGGTGTATCTCATCCGACTGCTTTGTTGGCATAACTCCTAACGTGCACACTAGTTGTCGAGCGGTCTCACCGTCGTCCTTCCTCTAACTGAAGAATATTTTTTATTTCCCATTTTCTCTGCTTTCTGGTTTTCTCCCATCTCTTTTTCATGTTTTTCTCTTCGATTCTTCATCGCTATTTTCTCAATTTCTGTTCCGCAATCAATGTTCGGTTACCCCATCAATCAATTCCATTCCATTCCATTCCGTCTCCAACCATGTTATATTCTTTTGTCCTCCTGACGACCGTGTGCCTGCGCGGCGAATCCAACTTTTTTTAACATTATTTTACTATCAATGCAGTCACCACTGTCACGGTCGATTGACAACCGACTTGTGCTTGTGGGGTGCTAGTACCTTGTCTAAGTAACTTTTGACCTGTAAGCTTCTTTGAGTGCTTTGCTTTTCACTTCGTTATTCTATTGAGTGGGTTAATTTGAGCCTCTTTGGTGTTCTTTTCCAGCTCTTTTTTTTAATTTATGGGTCGTTGGGAAGCGCATTCTCGCACCACATGGTTAATTATGTCATCTGTACCTGGCTTTCGTTTCCTTTGGTCACTTTGTATTCTTTGTAAGTATCTCTGGAGATTTGTATCGTCCTGACGTTCTTGACGTCTCTATTCTGTCATCCTGTTTCTTTGAAGAGATCATGAGATTTGAATGCACGACTGAGTTGCAGTTATCAATTGATCATAAAAACTTGAGAAAGCCATTACAACGTAGAGTCCGCCTGGTTCTGAGCACTATTATTACCTTAAAGTCCTTCGAAATCTACATAATCACCAAGACGTTCATCGTCATACACGTGTTAAGAGTACCTTGCTATCCCAACTACAGCTTGCCAGTAGGCCTTCGTCATATAATGACCAGCTACACCCGACGACGAACTCTGTGTGGCCGTCCTGGATGTACGTGAGTGCAGGTGTGGGGGCGTTTGGTGTGGAGGACGTTGTCCATCTGCATTAATAGCGGCATGAGCATGAATCGAGTGAAGAGCTAAGTTACAGTCTGGTAAAGAACGACATACACACGACAAGTCATATCATAACTCGCACTGGCGAGGACATCTGCCCGGTGCGGACTCCATTGGACTTTTCGAACAGCATACTCGTGTCCTAGTAATTCGTTTTCGCAGTTCCCGCCGACGAGTGTTTGCGTTTGAGCCTGTTCAACTCCAGGCGCAGGGCCGACACCAATCTTAAGCATCCGACAATCCCAAACCCTCACAACCCTATCTGTCCCGCCACTCGCGAGCACGAGCGGGCGGTACTTGTTCCAGTCTAGGGTCAGCAGCTCTGCGGGACCTCGAGGTGGAGGGATCATTAATGCTGGAGGGGTTAATGGTTGAGTAAGAGATGTTGGCGTTGAGTTAAGTAGGGACGACGAGGAGGATGGGAGACGAAGGTCGAAGATCCTGAGTACGCCATCGGAGGAGCAGGAAGAGAGGAGGTCGGGGTGGTGTGGAGAGAAGAGAGCTTGGTAAATGCAGCCTTGGGCGGCGTGGAGCGTTGTTAGTGAGTGCGCGCGATCTGGTGTCCACTAAACAGCGTTGATATTTTAAATGTAGTAAGAATTCGATGAGGAGTTAATGCGTGTTTTGTAGAAGCTCACAAGCTTAATTGTCCCATCCCAGGAAGATGAACAAAATACGTCTTTCTTCACGTTGGACCAGTCAACAGAATACACCTCCTTCGTGTGTTCGGACCATATTCGTATCGGAAGATCCTACTAAACACATTCGTCAGTCTTCACATCCCTCCCGATCATAAGTCCAAGGACAGATCAAGGAGAATGATGAATAAACAAATCTAATTGAACACTTTAACGCACATTTAAAGTAACGTCCCAAAGCCGCAACGATCCGTCTCCAGACGCAGTCACAAGCTGGTTCTCGTGTATTTCAGACCACACAACGTCATAAAGACCATCTTGAGTCGGGTATTGTTTCTCTAGAGCAAGTGACGGTAGTCGAGCCGGACCGGGATTTGGATTCGGTACGAGAGAAACGAGGTGCAGTCGGCCATTGCCTATGAGTCCGTAGTTTGCTGCTGACGCTACAGCGAGGCGATTGCTGTGGAACGGAGACCATGCGATACCGTAATGTGCAAATCCGGGAGTATGTAGCATTGAGGATGTAGGTGGTGGATGGATATTCATCATGGTCAATGAACAAAGGAAGCGAATGCACGTAGATCACCGCACTTATACCATAATTTCACGTGCATCAGAATAATCAAAAGAAAGGGATAGGCATCCATATTTCCGCTATTTCCATCTATAAAACAAAATAAAAGCATAATAGTTATACAACGTGCATGTACACAGCCTTACGACTAATCCAAAAATACGGTATACAATATCGAAGAAAGGTAGATGTAAATGTGTCAAAGCATATGATTGGTCTGTGAGAAGGACTCTAGCCTGTTTAATCCAAACGAACTTTGTGAACTTGCCCTGGACATTCCAGACCCATCGTTTCCGTCGCCCGTAGTCGGGAACAGCATTTGCTCGACCTCGAGTATCGAATCCATGGGCTGCAAAGAGCGCTTCTGCGTAAAACTACTAGCAGCAGAGAAGAGGGACGAGGGGCTGTTGCAAGTAGTAGTGCTGGCCGTTTCACAGAACGATGCGGGTGTCTTCCACCGGAGAGGGGTCCACTCGTACCGGTTACGACGCTCGGGACCCTCTTCGTTCAAATCATCTTCGAGACTGAGCTCTTCTATCATCGGAACAAAGTCGAAGTCAATGCCATATGCTAACCCATGCATGTCAATCCGTCGTAAGGCGTCAGAGCAACCTGGTGGAAGGCAGATCCTTTGCAGCGCTGAAGCTCTAGCAGGGAAATCCGGCATCATTCCAGCAAGTTTATCGGAAATTTCAAGGTTATATACGCGGCGTGTCGCGATGAGCTGTAGGAGGTCTTGGAGGATCACGTTCTCGCCCTGTCGCAGATGTATCGCATCAAGCTCGAGAATTTGCAATCGAGGCGCGGGAGGTTCGAAACTAGAAAACATCAAGTGCGAGATAAGCCGCCTAAAATATTCAGGACAGCTGATCATCTCCACCTCGCGATATGCAAGGCGTCTCAGCTTTGGCGCCGCTGAGAAAACAGGCCCGATATCCCAGTTGCCACAGGGTTCTGGGGGGAAGTCGATAAGTTCAAGTTCTTCCAGGTTCTTTAAAATTCTCATGATCAAGGTGCCATAACAAAGGTTCGGAGGCTCTGACCTGTCGGCTTGGGGAAGACGACGCAGACGTAGAGTCTTGAGATTTGGCATGTGTACTACCAGGAAAAACCTGAGTAGCTTGTTGGCACACGTCTGACCAACGAGAGCACTGCGTATTTCGAGAGCACGTAAACGAGGAAATGTAAGCTCTGCTTTGGAACGATAAGGCGCCCAATCCTGTCCTGCAAGAGGCTCACGGAATTCGATCGTGAGGTCAACAACGTTCGGGCATCCTGTGAGATATTCTTCCAGCTGTTCCCACTTGAAAACCGATACATGCAGCTTTTCGATTCGTCTGCATATCGGGTCAAGCGTGAGTGGTCCGGGAAAGTGGAGCCCTAGCTCTTTCAATGATGGTAATTTCCGCGTATCGAGTTTATGGTAATATTGGGGTGAGAAATTTGTTTCTTGATCGTACCACCAAGATAAATACCTCGGTATAAGTAGCCCTTCGCGCGTGCTGTGGAGGGAAATACTACGCAGGTTGGCATGCTGGATACCATCCCCCGAGTCCGAACAGATTTTCATGAGGAACTTCTCCATGCAGTCGTCTGGGAATCGCAGGTAGAGTGTACCCAAGTTGTCTGTAAGTTCCATAGCCTTTCGAACCATACTCAGGAGGTCAGTCCACATTAAAGTGTTCCCGTACCGCTTTATATCCCCGTAACAGAGCTGCACCTCCAGTTGACGCGGGCTCATTTCGTTTCTGTACCCAGGACGCGGAAGGTTCAAGAAATGTTGCAGAATTTGGGTATCGCGGGCGAAGTCAAAGCCAAACGGAGCATGGACACGTCTCCGCAGAGATATCGAGTCGAAGAGGCCAGGCGTCTGGAATGCGATGTATTGCCAGCGTCTGCACACGCGAAGCAAGACAAGAGGGGGAGTATCATTGTTATATTCAATGAAGTGCCCATCTCGTCGCTCTACGCAAAAGGAAAAGATGAGCTGTACGAGTTCCGGCGCGAGAACATCAAAATGGCAGAATGGCATGATCGAAATTCGTCGACTTTGGAGGCTCGTTGTGGTTATGTGGCTAGTAAAGACGAAGAGGTGCGTTTTATATGAGCTTTACGCGTCTAAGCGCGCAAACAAGGACAAATAGTGGGTGGTGGCCTGCTCTTTATGCGTTTCGGCCCTTTCTGATGGCTTGTACGAAACGCAGGCTGTCAGGGGCCTGTGGGCGTGAATACAATTGGAAGAGCGGGGATAAGTCGTTTTCTGTATGGGTTCCAGAATCCAGAGGGTCAAATCAAAGCATAGAAATAAACGTCGGTAAATTCCTGTAAATTCCAGATAAATACAACAGATCTCATAGAAAGCTGCCCACTGCATACCTATTCCATGATCCTTGCCCGATGAATTTATGGCGGCGTCTGTCTGACGTGGTAGTCGGAGAAACAAAACAACTAAATACGTAATAATTCTTTGACTAGACGCGTTTAAACTTTACATCCGCGACGCGTCTCACCGCACGTGATGGTCGGCGACCCCAACCTAGCGCCATTGTCAACTCGGCCAAGTACGTAACAAGTCCTTTTACGGCACGAACATACTGTCTGATGACATTGACAAAGGGTAAACGCGAAGCAAAATTGATGCAATCAATGTACTTCATCATCCTAGATAGGTCCTTATTTATCAATATGAGCTTCTGCCCACTACGCGGGTCTGGGCTACTTAAAACAAGGATTTCTGGTACTCCCTCATCAACTTCGGTGCATCAGTGTTCCCACTCGCGTGCGCTGTCCAAGAAGGAGCCTACGGTACCAACGATTCACCTGTTTATCGAGCTCAGGAATCCTGATAGCTCTTGTTCTCGTACCTTTGCATCACTACTATCTGATCCCATTAAAGCTCAGTTCCGAGATCTGAATGTAGCGGTTCTGCGGATCTCTAGAGTTTCGTGCCCTCCAGTGTCTATTATTACGCCATGATAAATTACGCGGTATGAAATGTGAGAATTTCACTCGCGAGCTTTCGTGTTTGGTGGTTAATACGCTTGTGGCTGTCAGGGTCGATTTCATTCGGGTCCTTTTGTTCTATTAATGCTTCATTCTCTTCGCCGTAGGATGCATAGGGCAACGGTTACTCATTTTCCCGGTTACTGTAACATTTCAACCGCTCATAAATGTACCATGGCTATCAAGTTAGCCGCACAGTTGCAACTCTAACCATATATCTGGAACAGCCTTTAATGTTGTGGATTTGCGCACAGTGCTGGTGAGTCGTATTGGTTAGATCATCGCATGAGATCGGATCGTTGAGATATGAGTAACAGAACAAAGTGCATTATTATGATGCTATTTGCGCGTAAAGCAACCGATCAAGTGTAACATATAATATTAAGCGATATTCGGACAATATTAAAGCCAGTCCATATCAATTTCTCAAGGCACTCAGAACTGAGGTGTCGTTTTATCCATAACACAGTATCTCTACTTCATCTGCTTTCATGACCGACTTTGAACAACCTGCTCGTGGACATGTTGTCGCGTTTGCATTGCCATTTTGGAGTGCGTACCCTGCTTTCCCTCAGGACGAGCATTAGCTAACGGTGGTCGTAGGCCATGTTAAACCGTTGTGTGCATTGATTGCGAGAACTGTCCGTCTTCATTGCGTAGCTGCGACATTCTTCACGGAAGCGTCTATTCTCGACAAAGTTGTGGATGAGTTCACACGGCAATTCATCACGGAGAATGACAAGAACATGCGAGAGCTCATAAGGTACGTTAATTCTAATTCTTTTATCTCCCTAAGCATGGAATAACAGAACCTCAAGGGTTGTTTCGTTACCAGCTCTCCCGGCCCCTTTCAAGTTCGACCCTTATGTATCTGCATTTATCGATGCATACAAGGCACTGTGCGAGGGTCGGCCAGTGCAGACGTCTTTTGGGAATGGCTTTGTCCGTGCTGTGCGATCACCGCAGCTCGTGGTAATTGATGTACGTCATTTCTCTGACAGTATTTTAAGAAAGTTTAATCGACAATATCGTGCTCTACTCAACCAGTTCTTCTGTTATGACGCTTTATGCGGCGTTCGGTCCATTAGCGGCTCAGCTGTACCAATATTTACATGGCAAACGGGAGCTGTTTCGGCTCTTCTATTCATGTTTGGACCTGAAGAAATGGGAGGAAGCGGTGATCCGGCAGAAAAGTTCAGTAAAATTTGTGCGGAAGACCGAGAGGACCAAGAGAATGAGATCATGACTGTCAGTCCGCCATAAATTTATCCTAAACGAACCCGAGTCTGAGATATTTTGAGATATATCGAAGGTTGAAAGGTCAGCTTATTGATCTCCCTGGCATTCCTCCTATGTACGACCATGAATTTATTCCGCAGATGGTATATTTCTCTATTGCAAGTTCCGGGCTCGATACTGAAGTACTCTGACAGACGGCACTTCCTGCTAAACCGGTAAATGTGCCTCTCATGTTCCAATACGCACATAGGTACTTACTTTGTCAATGTAATGGAAAAAGGCATGGACTGACATGCCGAAGGTTCCTCCGTGAATCCGATGGCGTCATCAACAACAGCAGCCGAATCTATGAAAGGGATGCGATCAATAAAGTTCAAGAATGGTTCGGCACCCGGCCTGTTTTGGCCGTTGGTCCTCTTTCACCACCTACAACGTCGATAGAGATCGAGCTTGAAAAGTCCAAGTCCCCTATCACAAGTGACGTGGAAAACTTTCTCGACTGTGCCCTAAATAAATATGGCCCGAATTCTGTTGTATATGTAACGCTGCTGTCCTTTTACGCTCATTTCATCCAAGACTGACGTGCTTTGAATCCCAGATATCGTTGGGCACGGTATGGTGGCCAGCCGAACCAGAGAAAATATGGGCCATTATAGATGTTCTCATCGAACAGGAAATCCCATTCGTTCAGTGACTTCCACTTTTCTTAACACATGATTCTGTCCTTATTAACGAGTCTCTTACCTAGCTTTTCAGTTACGCGGCTCCTATGGCGAGGATTCCGGAGTTCGTTTCCACGAAGATTCGGACTTCCGAATTAGGATTGGAAGCATCGTGGCTGCCACAGCAGACAATATTCCATCACAAGGTATAATAAAAAAAAGACCAAGTGATGCTCCGATGTTGATTACAATGAGACATAGGCTTGCGGTTGGTTCATATCACATTGCGGTCAAAACTCTATTATGGAGGCACTCAGCGCGGGCGTTCCTCTGTGAGATTCAGTCCTTTATTAGCAATACATTCTACACTCACGTATTTCATTTGGCTTGAATAGCATATGTTGGCCATTTGATGTAGACCAGCCTATAAATGCTGCAAACATCTCTGTCGTACATGAGGTCGGATATGAACTGTTTGAAGTACGTACGGGGTATGGGCTGCGACCGCTCCATCGGCTTGGAAATCGAACTCCAGATGGCACCATCGAAGCCGTTCGACGTGAGGTGACTGAAGTATTCTCCAAAGCTCGTGGTGAGGATGGACATAAGAAAAGGAAGAAAGCACAGTGGTTCAGTCAGAAGCTTGCGGAAGGCTGGGAGCACGGTGGATTGGCATGGCTCGATTTGAATAAACTGAGTAGTATATTTGTGTAGTCTATTATACCATTTCCGCTTCAGATTTCGGACAGCAGCGTGCAGTGCAGCTTGGTCAGGGGACACGTGAATTTAGATCAGATAAAGTATCTTAGCATTTAAGTTGTATGGCTATGTCAGACAATAATTTGGGCGAGTCGGTCCAGATCTGTGTAAGCACGCCCACCTTGTGTCGTGTCCTTGGATAATTTGTATTTGAAGCTTTGTGCTCTCATTCGCTTCGCCTTGCCATCCTCTCCACGAGCCATATACAGCACATCAAGTATCTCGCGCTTAACAGCATCGACCGTTCCCTCTGGACGCTTATTACCAAGACGGTGAAGCGGACGTAGGCCATGTCCGTTGCGCACTTCGAGCAGCTCATATCCAATGTTATGAACTGTTGACACGTTCGCAGCATTCACCGGTTGATCAACGCTGAAAGGCCAGCATATCCTATTCGAAGAAGATTCTTCCGGATAAGCAGCAATGAAACGAAAATTTTGAGTGTTCACAATGGTACACCAGCGCTTATTGATTCCATAGGTCAGGAACCATCCGCACGCCTATAACAAACTGAGTAAGGTTTACACCATAATCAGGCAAATCGTACTTCATGTTGCAGAATCAGTTGCTGTGGGACCCATTTTGCCGCAAACCCGAATCCAAATGCTTTGATTTTCTCCATCATACTGTCCAGGATTGAGGCAACCGGAGATGCATGGCTCAGGATCTGTATAGATGACTGGTTTATATTTTACTCCAAGAAATTGTTGCCTACTTACAAAGGGATTCTCTTCCTGAACGAGAACATCAACAACAGTCCACAACTTGTCGGGCTCTGAAGGCCACAAAACTGACCCAAATGATATCTGACGGACGAAAAGGCAAGAATTAAATCAATTTTCCTATTTAAATGTAACATAAAGCTTACATATACAACTGAGTACGGCCCAAACTTCTCTAGTGCTCCATCCAAAAATGCTACGACGTCCCAATGCCTAGAAATATCCAGTTTTACATTTTCGGGATCGGAAAGGGGGCCAACTGCGAGGACTGGCTGTGGGTTGAGGTATTCCTGCCATTGTTCAATTGGTCCAGTTTCAAATAGTCGACTGCTCGTGCTAATGATACCGTCGCATTCCGAAAGGAACCTGCATACCGTAATGAAGAGTGCGGGTTACGTCAGTTCAATCAATCATACCGATTTCCATATTGAGACATAAAGATGACTTCAATCGGTTCTACGGGAAGTGCTGGCTGGTATCAGCTTTATGTTATTACGGACTAATAGGCTAAAACGTTAGGTGAATTCCACGTACGATCTGCGGGACATGCTCGTAATCGTACATCGGAGGGATACCCCGGATTTCAACCAGACGTCCATCCGTATGGTTATATATCTAGAATTGCGTGATAATGAGAATAGAGAAGTTACGGATTTGGACTTAGAGAGCTTGCCTCCTCTATTTCTTTATTCTGCGTTTCCGTGTCTATACCAGTGATCTTGCTTATTTTCTCTGCGATATCGCCATTTCCGCCCATACTCTCAGGGCCAAAAAGGTAGACAAGAGCAGCGACGGCTCCAGTCTGCCATGCATAAACCGGTACGGATGAGCCGCTGATTGCGTGTACACCATTCAGGGCCTTGTAGAAGAAAAACTACAAAAATGTTGTTCCACGGTTTAATAACCGTCAGAAAAAGGAGGGTGAGATCTTACATCAAGGATGACAAGGCGAGGTGGCGGAACAGTGTTATAGACAATGTGACTGGCCCCGCCATCATATAGCGTCTTGTATGCATCTAGGAAATAGGTCTGAAATCCATCTAAGCGGAAAGGACTTTCAGGCGAAGGAAGGACAACAACTCTAATGTTGACTGTCCGTTAGAGCAGGAACTCCTTCGTTATTGCGAAGAAATAACCTTACCTTATCCTTTCCTTCAAACTCCGTTGGCTTTCCGAAGGAAACTGCATCCGAAGTTCGTTCTCGACTTTATCTAGGACGGATACCTCTGTGAACAGTGTTGCATACATAGGACGAAGTTGCACGAGCTTGCTAAGGATAACACACAACGATTTTGTATGACCTGTCAATTAATTCGTTACTATGAAATATTGTGGTAGATGAGTAAATGTCCCACCCCAGAAAGGTAGAGCACAAGCTACGACATGACCGCGAAGAACTGAATCAGAGCCGTCCATAGAAGGTGAGTGATGAAGTTGATCTTCAATACTGTCTGTAATAATGGGGTTAGCTTTCTCGAATGCATGAAATATTTTACAGTTGTGCCACGGTAGAACGCACGCTTGAAGGTACATGTGATCAAACTTCGAGTAAAAAAGATCGGGAATCTTGTGTTTTATTTTCCCCACAGGAATCGATTTTGACTCCGAAGTTCCTTCGTGCCTAGGCTTTGAGTAATCTCCGCATGTGTCCCTGTCAAAATCTCGATTATCGATATGGTGGAGACGGCTCTCGGTATCCAATTTGTCACAGCACGAACTACAAGCATTATAGAGATTTTGAAATGTAACACGGGCAACTTGAACCGTGATGGAATCCATTGTATTGTATATTCCTGGAACAAAGTAGATTTACCGACATAAATGATTATACACGATACCTTGTAAAGATATATATGAGCGTCCCTGCAGCATGATGAACTCGGACGGCATACCGATAAAGAAGAAAATATTCCAGAGCTTTATCAAACTTCCTCGCCGAATTTCAGAGGCGAAGTGCCTTTCGCAGCTGACGGAACGCCGCTTCGCAGACCAACAAGGCATCACGGACTTCCTCACGATCGAGCTCGGGTTCCGCACGGGATTGTTCCTCATCCCGTCTTTTGTCCACTGGCTTTGGTCTTTTCGAAGGGCTCGGTCCAGGAGGAGCCGAGCTCGCAATAGAAAGGTCCGCATCTGTTGCACGACGCTTGCGGAGTATTGAATTTGGACTTGATGTCTCCCCCCGAACTTGGGTAATCGTTCTGGGAGATCCAACCCTCCGGTTGTTAAGGAGAGTGGCGGCCCTCCGAGGTCTGATCCCCCGCATTTCCGCCGTACTCTCTGTTCCTTCTTCCTTTTCTCCGTCCAGTGTAGCTGTCTTGTTTTCCTTTCCATCGCTCTTTGGTAACCGGACTCTAACCGCCGCTGACACCGAATCCTGTTCGTCTCCTCCTTTATCAGATTTGTCTGGCTGCTCCTTTTCACTTAGGGATCGTGAAATTAAATCACATCGTTGACGATGGGCACGACAATTGAAACAAGCACGCCCTTCTTTACCAGAACAGGCAAAGCCAGCTCGTGCACATCTCCCGCATGGTACTTCATGATTGATTGTGCGTGGAACATCCGAGAAATTTGGTACAGATATGGTTGTCTTTGAGTTATCTCCAGAACGGCTCTTCTAAAAGGAACAGAGGTATTTAAGTGATAGCATCAGACATATGATACCAATAATTTTTTACCTGCGTTTCCGATGCATTGACTCCTAGCATTCTCCTGGAGGAGCGACGGGACGTAGATGGTTCGTCAGGCTCCGACTCGCCGCTGCTTGATGGACCAGCCCTTCCATTCTTCAGCCGGGACTCGGTTGCCTCAATAGCCTTCATCGCTGCCAAAAAGCGTTCACCTACGCCGTCTGAGTACTTTGTCAAGCGTGGAGCGCGCTTTTCTCGTGGAGTCAATGTCTTAGCCTGAACGCGTCCTTTGTGAAGCAACTCTCACTAAGAAGCTTGTGTGAGAGACACACCTCATAGTCCATCAGTTCACGCGCCCATTTTCTCCAAGCCGATTTGTCTTTTTCTGGTGGCTGAGTCTCCACAAGCTTCTGCACGTGCTCAAGGGCCTCCAGATACAGTGCAGCAGCATCCCTCCGAGCAACAGGTGAAGTTTTCGCACTTTGAGACATACTTAAGTTTTAGGGAGTATGTTTTCACCGATCTTTCACAGCATTGGGGAATGAGTAAGGTGAACGAGTACTGTGGTCAGTTAATAAGTCAATGACAACCAAACAGCAGACGCGACGCGACCGCGACTTGGTCACGTGATGCAATCATATTAAGCGACATTAATTACTGAAATGAAAGAAATAAAAATGGATCTCAGCCAAAAGAATCGGCATAGACAATTTCTTTTCCACTATCTGTCGACAGCTCCAGAATCGCATTAAATCTCGAAGAACTTCACAGCCGGCACGGCAGGAAAAACTTTCATTTACACTCATGTAACGATCACCAAGCACGGTGTCCACCATCTACAATTATACTGGAATTTTTTGTCGAAATTAGGGCACTGAAAAGAATCGTAATGCGAATCTACTTACTCGCTTCCTGTGCAAAATGACGATGTGTCGGACGCTAGCCATGCGATAACTCCTCTTAACTCTGCGGGTTTTGCAGCTCGTCCAGGTGGATTTTGTGATTTCCAGAACTCATGCATTTCGTCCATACCCTCGATATTAGAATGGATACTGCCAATAGAGTTGTCATGTGAGCACATCAGCCCCAGATACTATCCTACTCACTCTGTTGGGAAATATCCTGGCGACAGAGAGTTCACTCTGATTCCATACAGTCCGAGTTCGCATGCTAGAGAGCGCGCCATTTGGATACCAGCGGCCTTTGTTACACTATACGCTGCGACTGGAATTCCCCGCACCGCGGCGCTTCCCGCTGCAGATGTCACAAGCACTATGCTCCCCGGTGTTTCAAGTCTCTTCATTTGCCTTGCGGCTCCCTGTGCAGTGTAGAACAGGCCATTCACATTGACGTTCATGATCCTTTCGTATTGGTCCGCAGTCATATCAAGGCACGGCACGAATTCTGCAATACCGGCGCTCGCAACGCAAATATCGAGTCGTCCTTCCCTCTTAGCAATCGCTTCTATGACTTCCCAAACTGCAGTCTGATTAGAGACGTCCACCCGAGCATATTCGAGACGGGCGCTCTTCACGAGGCTGAGCTTAGAGATGTATGCTTGGGTTGCCAACCAGTCTTCGGTCGGCGCTTCACTGGCTGCTAGACAGTATACAGTTGCACCAGCTTCTGCAAGTGCTGCAGCCATTTCGAGTCCAAGTCCTCGGCGACCACCAGTGACGATAGCGACTCTTCCTTCAAGGGAGAACTCCTTCTGTAGCAACGTGGGTATCGGAGAGATGGTTGGATCTGCTGCAGCACGCACGGCTGCTTCAACGCCAACGAGAGGAGTAGGAGTGGCGGAGCTGTTCTGAGTCGAGTTAGCCATAGCGTATTGATGAGCAAGCTGGTTTGACAATCGTCGAACAAGGGGCGTGTGGTCCGTAATGGAGATTTCTCTGCCAATCTACTTTATCAATTTATACTGCGCTTGACAGCATTTCATACAGCAATATCTTCGGAAGACGTTCCCGGTGATAACTTGTTTGGTTAACTTTTCAGTTTCGTCCGTCCATACGATGCTCAGGAACATAGGTCATGGAGCTCAGTGCAAATCGCAACATGAAGTTCGAATTAAAGCGTAAAAAAAAGGCACTTGTTGAAAACGATGGAGCGAGACCGAGCCGATCGATGGGTAAAAGCAGAGAAGAGCGTGTGTCCAAAATAGAGATGGCTAGAAAGCGCTGCACAAGGGCCACCTCTTTCCTATTTTACGGGTTGCTCGATAAATACTAGGCACCGTTTGGGCGGACCTTGCATGTGTCGAGAATAGTCACCAAAGAAAATACTGTATTTCACCCAGAAACACTCACTTTAAGGGTATTTGCAGTCTATAATTACTAAAACTCATTATTATTTCACAAAAAAAAATACAATTAGAAAGGTCTTCATATTAGCTACAAAACATATGTTTTAATTTTTTGTAAAATTAAAAAATAAATATTTTATTGAACTTACGCGAGAAGGACTCAAAACTGAGCGTTCGACGTGATTCACCAGGAAACGCACACTCGTGGGAAACTAAACTTAGAGAAATTCGCGCGTGCATTCACTCAGTACACAGACTCGACTTCAATCCTATCCAGACCAATTTACTTTGGTCTGGGCAGAAATAAAGGTAAGTACAGTCTATTAGTCATATACACTCTATTAATTAATAGAATATATGGTCCTTTATACAGGAACAGGCTTGTTGTGATGACTTAGAGTCTCTTGCCTATGTTCTAATGTCTACTTCTTACTCTCCTCTACCTCTCGTTTTCCTCCTCCTCTGCTTCCAGATTCATTACACTTATTATAATTATTAAAGAAT